CTACCAACATGAATTTGACCCAACTGCAGGAGGCAGTGGAAGACAGGAGGGCCTGGTGTGCTCTGGTCCATGGTGTCATGAAGAGTCAGACACGATTACACAACTAAACAACAACAACAAGTCTAACCATCTTATTTTAATTACAATTGTAGAGAAGACTCCCTGGAAAAGATGCTGATGTTGGGAAAACGTGAAAGCAATAGGAGAAGGGGACTATAGAGGACAAGATGGCTGGACAGTGTCATTGAAGCGACCAACATGAATTTGACCAAACTCCAGGAGGCAGTGGAAGACAGGAGGGCCTGGTGTGCTCTGGTCCATGGGGTCACGAAGAGTCGGACACAACTTAATGACTAAACAACAACAACATTTTACCTATATTTCATATATTCCATTATTTTAAATGGTGCAGTGCTCTGACATGAATGAAGAAAGATCACTAGAAAATAAATATAGATGACAGACGAAGTTTCCACACTCTCTTTTTACTCCTCCTTCCCCTCATGCTAAGGAATGTGCGACTTGAATGTGGGATGAGTCCAATGGCACAAAGATACAGTGGACCCTCTACTTACGGAATTAATCTGTATTGGAACGGTGGCTACAGGTTGAAAAGTCTGTAGGCCGAGTCTCCATTGACCTACAATGCATTGAAAACTGATTAATCCCATAACCGACGGTTTTTGTTCCATTTTTGTTCCATTTTGGCTTTTTTTCTGGTCTGTAGGTCGATTCTCTGGCTGCAAGTCGAACCTTGTTTGTGCTGAGATTAGATCAGAAAAGGAAGCAGACATCTAATTTTACTTTCTGCAGGAAACCATCTGGGGCTATGGACAGATTTAGACATCTTTTAGTGAGCAGGAATGTTAATGCTGTCAATCCTTACTAGAGATGGGTGCATTCATACAACTCCAATGCAGCTGAAGTTAACAAGGGTCCAGCCCCTGGGGTCAGACCATCCACTTACACCTGGGGCCAGACCATCCACTTACATGTCCAGCAGCGACCCCTCTCTTCCTTGTAATCACTCCAGAGCGCCACTCGGCTAGCCACTCAGCAGCCTTGCAGGGAGACTCGTCCTCCCTCCCTCTGCCAGGAGTGGCTAGATGACTGGGAAGAGAACGGTGCTTGGGAGCGACTGGAAGGATGAGCGTGGCCAGTGGTGGCAGCAGACGTGTGAGTGGACAGTCTAGCCCCAAGGGCCGGATCCTCCAGCTTCATGGGCATGTTCATACATGAATATCCCCATCTCTAATCCTTCAGCTATGTTCAATCTTTATATGTGCGTAAATAAGCCTCAGCTGGCTAGATAGCTCATGGGCTTGGGTATCTGGCTGCAATGCCAGAAGTTGGGAATTTGGTTCCCCACTGTGCATCCCAGAACAGTGAGCCTGTGTGGGGCCTTGGGCAAGCTACACAGTCTCAGGATGCCCCCAGAAGAAGGAAATGATAAACCACTTCTGTATATTCTCTACCTAGAAAACCTTGAAAAGGTTTTCAATATTGACTTGACAAAACACAATTATTATTAAAATAAACTTTATAAGAATGAAATGCCATAAACCTCCTGTATTCTGAAGCTGAAAACCATTTGCTAGGTAAGCTCTGGACGCTACAAATGTGTTACTTGGAGGTGGTGGTGTACCTGGATAATTTTAAACCCTGGAATAAATTGTCTTAGAAAGCTTACCTTTATAGGCTCTGTGTATTATTTCAATCGTGAAGGACACTATATTTCTCTTCATCCATCACACCATGCTTTATAGCTGCTTCTACACTCCTGCTACGTTAGAGCAAACAACCAACAAACGAAACCTTTGCATACCCTGATAAAATTGAAGTACTATGAGTATGCATAGCTTTATTTTTAAAAATCACTGTACCATTATGACTATACAAATAAAATTTGGTTTGCTTCTGCTGTTCTGATGATATACTTACCTGGCAAGATGCATAATTTTGCTGTAGCAAGGAAATAATATATATTTCAAAAGTACAAATAAAAAACCAATAATAAAATGAGCATTGTAACTATGCATATGCGCAACTGATAGCTTACTTGATTATTGTATTTTTTGAAATAAGAAATGATGCTGGGACAGCATGTACAGTACTTATTATGCCTGGCAAGCCACTGACGAACTGTAAAACCAAGGAGAAGAACAGAAGCAAGGGAAGGGAAAAAGAGGCAGGGAGGAAAGAGCTGAAGTTATAAGCAGGAAAAGAGGAGGACAGAGTGAAAAGAAAAAGCAAGTGAGTAAAGCAGTGGGTGGAAAAGTAGAAAACAGGACTACTTCTAGACATGACTTGTAATTGTTTATGATGTAAAAGTTACAGAAGCCAATGGTCCTGCTGACTGATGGATTGTTGGCATTGTTCTTCAAAAAGTGACATTTTGAAGCTATAAAAATCCTTCATTAGAGATAAGACTAAAATCTACACATCATTTTTTTTTTCTTATCTCCAGCATCCCAATTGCATTTTTGATGCCAAGTGCTTCTGCCTGGTCTGGATCCCATGGTGTTCAGCTTCTCTGCATTTCAGTCTGCACTAGGGATGTCAAACTTCACTTGGCTCCCCTTTGCTTATAAGGAACTATAAAACTATTGGATAGCCCAATGGTTTAGGTATTTGGCTGCTGAGCCGGAGGTTGAGAGTTCAATTCCCCACTGTGCATCCTTAACAAGGGCTAGACTTGATGATCCACAGCGCCCTTTCTACCTTTGCAGTTCTAAGATTATGATGATACTCCTAGATATCAAGAGGTGGTAGGAGAAGTAGCGGGGTTGCCCAAGATGAGCAAAACTGCGCGGATAATGCAAAATGGGCAAAATGAGGGTGCCTGTTGCTCTGTTGCATGGACTTTAGGAAGCTTAGGAAGCATCGGAGAGGGTGCTGGCATCTTTTTAAATAATCAGTAATTCTGTGCTTGTCCATATGTGTGCTTTGCTCTTTAATGGGAAATGACACTAGCATTTCCATACTAGAGAGGCAGTCTGCACAAGCTGTAGAGACCTTGTCTTCCTCACCTAGAAGCAAGGAATCTCTTGGGGGTTTATAAATTTCTTACACTTTCTCAAAACCTAGGATTGAACTGGAGATGTTCTTCCACAAGGTAGAAGACCTTGATACACTTTTTAAATATTAGAATCAAGCTCTGAAAGCTGTAACCCTCCATGGAATGATGGAACACACACATCCCAATTTCTCACCACTTCAGGTTGGCCAGAACTTATCAGGACTGGATTCCAGCAATATTTGAAAAGCCTCCATTTCTCCAACCCAGGATTAGAAGTTGAGGAAACACTATACAAGTGTACAGTGACTTCAAAAGTTTCCTAGGACAGCCCTAAGTCTTGTCAGGAGTTGTCTCTGAGAGAGGCAGGAGGAGCTTCAACTGAGAAATAAAAGGAAAATAAAACTAGAAGAGCACGCCATCAAGTAATGTCAAACAAGATGTGGTATCTCTAAAATTGATTTACTTTCATAACTGTGCCTCAAAGAACAGACTAATCCCCCAACTTTTCTGTAGCTCAGAGTAAAGCACAGTGATATGTATTTAATCAATTGGTTTAAAGAGAAATCACGGAAGTCCACACAGTTCAGAATTCAACAAGTTGGGGAAATATTCCCATTGCAGTACAGGGTTGGTCTTGCATAATGTCTCCAGATATTCCCATTCTTTGCATTTATGCAAAGGAGGAGGTCTGTTGTATCAGAATGCTATCGGAGCCAAGCCTTTTGTTCAACGTGAAGGGCCATCTTCTTCAGGATCAAAATGAAGGCACACCATGTGAACTACTGTATAAATTGAATTAATGGGTCCATCAAAACCAAATGTCTTTGTCCCTCAGAATCGAGTAGAGGACTCAATTAATAAAAATCATATTAATTCTATTGGGTGCAGTTTGTGGCCTGATTTCTCTCTCCCCCCCCCCTCGTATTGCTAGCAGTTTTATCCATGCTTGTTGTATTGATTTTATGTTAAAGTTAATTGGGGAAACTGAATAAACAACGACTGAGTAAAAAGAGCAAGCACTGAATTTTACAAGCATGTGTTTTTCAGACTTGAGGAGAAGGGGCATATTTTGTACTCATGCATCCATTTGTGTGTGTGTGTGTGTGTGTCAAACTACAAGTTGTAACCTGAAAATGGACCCTCAGGGTCATATTATTCTAGAGGGGTGGGGAATAGAGGAAGCAGCCATTTTCAGAACCATCTTGTTGACTAGGAAGGGCAGTGGCTCTCCACAGGTTGTGTTAGGGCTGTGACTAGCATAGGGCACTGGGACTTTGCTCTGAGCACCAAAATTTACATGGTACCTGTGGCGATCGACCTTGTAGCCCTTTGGTAAATTGCTATTTACCAAAATATTTCTATATTTAAAGATTTATTTCACTTGTTTGCTTTGCTGTTCTACTTTTTGCTTTAAACACATATGCTTGAGAGAAGCGGGGGTAGAGAAAGGTGCTTGTTCCTGATGTTTTCCACAACTTGCATCAGGGTATCAAAATTTTTCTAAGTACTGTGTTGACCCAAAAATAAGACAGGGTCTTATATTAATTTTTGCTCCCAAAACGCATTAGGGCTTATTTTCAGGGGATTTTTTTTTAATGTACAACAATCTACATTGATTCAAATACAGTCTTGTCATCTTCTTCTGGTTGCTGCACAATGATGGAGGGCGGGGTTTCACTTAACTGGGGCATATTTTGGGGGGTAGGGCTAATATTACGTGCAGCCTGAAAAATCATACTAGGGCTTATTTTCTAGTTAGGTCTTATTTTTGGGGAAACGGGGTATATAGTATTCTTATTGTTTATATTATATATGTCATTTAATCTTCAATTTATAAACACTAAACAGAGGAATTCTACAAAGAAAAAATACTAAGAAGAAATGAACAATAGTAGCACACAATGCAACTGAAATATGTAAACAGAATCAATTGGAAACATTTTCCAGATAACAGAAGAAAGAAGTAAACATTGTTTGTCTTTCACTGAATTTTATGTCATTTTACATAGGTCTTTTAACAACATTGGAGTGTTCTTGATGCTTTTTCTCATTCTTATCGAAATTACGCTTCTTGTGGAGCCATTTTCCAATGCCAGGCTGAATTCCGTTGTAGAATAATACATCTTTCAGTATCATATCCTGGTAGTAGGAAGAAAGGAGTTAAATATTAAAGCCTTAGTATAGAAAATATCTAGTAAAAGCTCAGAATTTAGACTACTCTCAGTTGGACCCCAGCAATTCTACTTGCATAAGTATGCAAAAGCTAGAAGCTCACTTTCTCCACTACTGATTCATGCTGTTTTAATCAGCAGCTGATGGAAATTTATTTACCCTCCAAATCACAAAAACTAAAACCAAAACCAGTTTTCTGTTTGAAGTAATCAATGCATTAATAAACTACATTTCAGAATAATGGTTGCAGAGACATACCAGAAAAAATGAATTTGAGTTTGTAGCAAATCAAGCAAATGAACTAGCACAAAGGCTTATTAGTGTGGTAATAAGGGGTTTTGTGTTTATCCCACAGAATGTTTTTAAAATTTCATTTTAGAACTATAACTTCCAGAATCCTCTAGCCAACATGTCCTCTAGCGAACATGTCCAATCCCATGTGACTTTCCTCACCTATGTATTTGGCATTTAGTGTGCATTGTTCTTTCACTGTAATTGGAAGATAAACCTCAGATTATTTGCAAGAGTGATTGCTGAGGTATGTACCTCTAAGATAAGCCCATGGTAGAAAGAAAAATGGATTAATTGTAAGATTGCACTTTCCCGCATAATGTCTAGTTTGACCCCCAGATTTCTCCAGACACTTGCAGGACTTGAAATGATAGGAAAAAATGCCACTTACAAACAGACAGAAATATTTGGCACCCGCCTGAAACCTAACATGTCCATGGCAGGTACACACTCATTTTCATCACCTTTTCATCAATCAATGAAAATGTGATTTCACATTTTCACTGATTGATGAATGGTAATACAGTGTTTATGTGCATTTATTTCGGCAGAGTAATGCTACAAGTAGTTCACTTTTCAATGGCACACATGAAAAACACCAAAAAGATATCTAGTTGCTATTAGCTAAACAAAACATGTGTGCATTTAATAAACAAATTACAGATGCATTTGAAATGCTTTTAAGGTAATGAAATATTTTTATTTGATTATCTACTGAAACTTCCTTGAACATTCATGTTCTATACTAGGAGAGGAAGCTTCTGGCCATATGGCAAGTTGCAGTATAACAGCTTCCCTGCATACCAGCATTGTGCTAAATATTGTCCCAGCCAAGGTCTTTTACAATGGTTCCCCCTTGTCTTATTACCTTTTTGTGCTTCCATTCTTTTTCCATCTGCTTTTTTATATATGCAAGCTTGAGATCATCCTACAAAAAAACAAAACAAAAACAGAACAATGGTGAACAGTTTAAACCCAATGTTTTTTCCATTATTTAGCCTTTGGTGGCTTAACTTCAAGAAATATCTAATTTTATAATCCCTCCAAGACTTCATGATTTAATTTATATGCTTTTACATAAAATACCTCATTTCAAAACAACTTGTCATGGAATATTATCACTGCAGGACACATTGGAGTTGAATAACTGTTCTCTAATAAGAAGAATAATGTTTCCCTCATAAGAAGTTTACTATCAAAACACAGACATATATTACTCTCTAAACCACCCAGCTTTTTGGAACAACTGCCTCCCTCAGTCACTCCACCACAGAAATACACATGCGTATGTATATCCAAGTTGGTCTTAATTTATAGAAGAAAAGAACACTGTACTGAAATAATACAAACGAATACAGCATGAAGTTAATGAGCACATTAATTATAGACCTAAATTAAACAAAGCTATACTGGAAAGCCGATTGTGATTTTAGAAGAATCTGATAATTTCAAAGAATCAGGTCATCCCAAATTTTGATTACAATGGTCAAGAATGCAATCCAAATTAGTTATATCTGATTATAGGAGAAGAAGGCAAGGAATATCCATGTACTGTATATCACTGTTAGGAGGAAACACCTGGGCAAATACTAGTGCCCAGTTAGATCATAAATTCATAGATTTCTCTAAGGTACGGCATTTTTTATATTTCCAGAAACCAAAAGGAATATAATTTTTTTCCATAATATTTTTTTTAAGGAGGAAGCCTATGTAAAGTCACACACACTGTTTATTATACCCCTGGTGTTCTGTTTAGTTCTTTGGAAAGGTGCAGAGAGTCCCTGGTCTGAAAACAAGAGAAGAGTGCAGGGCTTGCAAACTGCCATACAATGTTAGAGGTGATCAGTGTTGCTAGGGAACTAGTAGTGACTGGGAGTCAGAAACTGACAAGTGAAAAAAGATGGAAGCAGAAGGAAAGCAGAAACCTGCAAGGTCAACCGATTCAGAGACAATAGCCCCAGCTATTTAAGGGGGAAGAAAGAGTTGCAGAGAGAACAAAGCAAGGTCCTGCGAGTTCCTTTGGAACAGGAATTGCACAAATAAGGACATTTGTGCAGTGCTTTCAAACCTTGTTCTCACATGCAAAACCAGCTCCTGACTGTAGTTATTCCATAAACAATCCAACCCACAAATAATATTATTGATCCAAATTCAGTGAAAATTATGTCCCAAGAAGTATCATCATTTAAAGGAGGATGAAGAGATGCACAACAATTCATTCCAAAACTGTTAATAGGGAAACTATACAATTGTCAGTAGGCAGTGCACAAATATGTGCTGACTGTAGAAGTCAGGATTATATACAAGTTCAATATATTCGCGAAGGCTTTCACGGCCGGGATATAATGGTTGTTGTGGGTTTTTTGGGCTCTTTGGCCGTGTTCTGAAGGTTGTTCTTCCTGAGGTTTCACTAGTCTCTGTGGCCGGCATCTTCAGAGGACAGCAACCTGTACTCTGGTGTAGTTGACTTGGGAGTGCTATATACAAGTTGCTCCCGGCAGGAGAAAGCCCCTGGCCATCTGATCTCAGGGGCCTTCCTGCACTACAGTCTGTTAGAACTGCTAACCAAGATCTTCTGGCAGAAGAGCTGAAAAAAATGGATGAGGCAGGGTAGAGTGTTGGAGGAGCCACATTACACATTATACAACATCTGCATGTCTTCCCAATCCAAGGACTGAGTCATCGGAAGAGCACAACGTTTGGCCGAGGTGAAGAAAGTCTGTAGGTAATTTCCAGCCTCTGTAGGCAGGGAGGGATTCGAAGCTCAGGTTAACCTTGACCTGTTGGAACTTCATTCTTTGTCATTACTTATATGCCAAGCTGTAACAGCTGGTTGTCCTGCTCTAACAAAAGGCAATTGTGTGCAGAAACATAAACCCCCTTGGGATCATAAAGCTTTCCACCTTGGGTGCAACTGAGGACAAACAGCATATCAATGCCATATAGACTCAAGAAGGAACTGGGCTCTTCTTGTGATTGAAGTGGGGGAATAAAATGTAATCATCCTGTTTTGAGCCAATCTGACTGGAGCACAGAGAACTCAGTGCAGTATTAGGCACATATATATTTAAAGATAAATGGCAGGCAATCAAGTACTAGAGATGATGAATGCTCAAGTGAAAAGAAAACATAGAAAGGAAAGCAAACTTTTAAAATGGGCATTTAAAATGACACAGCTAGGTAGGGGAGAACTTTTAATTATGCAGAACAGCACTGGATGAATAGATCTTCAATTAACAGTAATTTCCTATAAACTTTTGGAACCTCTCTGACTTTTTAGAGACATGACAAGTAAGCTGAATAAGTCTTCCTTAGTATAGCAATATAGGTAAGGATCATTACAGTCTCTGAGTAGAAAGTTCATATTAGCTTCTACCCCAAACTGCCCCCAGTAGTTTCCTAGCAACACTGCTCATGTTGGTTTTCCTTCAAAAGGAAAACTAACACGCCTGGTGGCACCGCAGCCTGCCTTGGGGGTGAGCTTCTTAAAGCGACAGTATAGAATATTTAGAATATGCCAATCCATTATGTCATAGCTACCAACTGACAAGCTATCTTACACTAGCCACAGGCATCATCGTGACAACATAATGACTGCAAGAGTTTAGCTTGATGCATCAAGAAAGGTGTCACACATTTGAAATTATGTAACTCATTCTCTACAGTTTGCACCAACAAATCAGAAAAGGAAAATGAATCATGAAATTATAGAATTGTTAAGAACTGGCTAGGGAAACTTGACCTTCTGCTATGAAGCAAAAATAGCCATCCCCAAGTATGACACAGAGCACTTCAAGCCAGACTAATATGCAGGAGCACTGCTGGACGATGGTTAAAAATTGTGCTCAAGTAATCTCAAGGAAAGGGACATGGTGGCGCTGCGGGTTAAACCGCAGAAGCCTCAGTGCTGCAAGGTCAGAAGACCAGCAGTCGTAAGATCAAATCCACGCGACAGAGTGAGCTCTCGTCGCTTGTCCCAGCTCCTGGCAACCTAGCAGTTCGAAAGCATGTAAAAATGTGAGTAGACAAATAGGTACCACCTCGTTGGGAAGGTAACAGTGTGTCGTGTCTAGTTGCGCTGGCCACGTGACCATGGAAACTATCTTCAGTCAAATGCTGGCTGTATGGCTTCAAAACAGGGATGAGCATCGCCCCCTAGAGTTGGACACGACCGGACTAAATGTCAAGGGGAACCTTTTCCTTTACCTAATCTCAAGGAACTAGCTAACTCCGCCTCAAGGATCTGTGGAACTGGTTGGTTTGGAAAAAAAACAT